GACAGTTGGTAAGTGAGTTTTTTTTTCATTTTATGACCTTTCTTGCCACAATTGTTAAGTGAATCTCTGCTGTTGTTAAATTAGTAACATGGTTGTTAAATGAATCTGGCTTCTCACATTGACTTTGCTTGTCAGAAGGTCGCAAAAGGGGATCACATGACCCCGGGAGACTGCAACCGTCATAAATATGAGTCAGTTGCCAAGCGTCTGAATTTTGAGCATGTGAGCAAGAAGACGCTGCAACGGTCGCGAGCGTGAAAACCGGTCATAAGACACTTTTTTCAGTGCCGTTGTGACTTTGAACGGTCACTAAACAAATGTCAAGGACAACCTGTATTAAGATAGGCCTGCATACTCACTCAGGTAATCCTCGATTTATGTCCATCATTTATCCTTTAAATGAATGCAGTGCTTTTTAAGCATTGTTCACCGGAGGTACTTTTAGTAGAATGCGCTTATGTGACTATGGGATGCTGCAAATTGGCTGTAAATATGGGCTGGTTGCTGAGCACCCAAAATGCAGTCACATGACCGGGGGGGCGGGGTCAGCCCTCAACATTTCAAATCCAGTCATAAGTACCTTTTTTCCGGGGGGGGGAGGTGTCCATTATTGTTTCAAATGGTCACTCTCCCATCCCATTAAGATAGTGGGTCACAGTACCTTTTGAGGTATTTGAAGACCAACTCATTGCCCATTAGAGCCATGTTTTCACCTGATCGAAGTTATCACCATTTTGAAACTGGGCTATGCTTAAGCAGAACTTCCTGTCTTGCCCGCTGGAGCATCTGATTGGCTACTCTTGTAGGTAGTCCTCGACTTAACGACCACAACTGAGCCCCAAATTTATATTTCTTAAGTGAGATCTTTGCTAAGTCAGCTTTGTCCCATTTTACAACCTTTCCAGCCACAGTTGTTAAGTGAATCACTGCAGTTGTTAAATTAGTAATACGGTTGTTAAGTGAACTTGGCTTCCCCCTTGACTTTGCTTGTCGGAGGGTTGCAAAAGCTGTTCACATGACCCCCAGGACAAGACAACCGTCATAAATATGAACCAGTTGCCAAGCATCCGAATTTTGATCATGTGACCCTGGGGATGCTGCAGTGGTCTTAAATGGGAAAAACAGACCCAAGTCACTTTTTTCAGTGCCGTTGTAACTTTGAACAGTCACTAAACCAACCGTTGTAAGTCGAGGGTTACCATGTAATTTCCTCCTAGCAGTCCCATTGCCCCAGCTTTTCCAGCCAGAAGCCCGATGTGTGTTTGTTTTGCCGACTGTCAGTTTCCCTTAATTGAATTGGTGGAGGAGGGGAGCCTGTTTCTTCGCATGACTTTGATCCGAGAAGATTTGCCCAAATGCCTGCCAGAATGAATTAAGTCAAGAGCGGGAAGCAAAAAAACAGAGCACACTTCTGATTGGGTGAGGAAATTAAGAGGCCTGTTAGCATGAGGGAGAATCACAGAGAATATCCGTTGGCGGTGAATGGCTTCGGTAGGCCTTCCGACTGACAGCTGATCTCTCAGCTGCGGTCTATGCAGTGGGGAGATGGTGGCTGCGGCTTCAAGCATTTGGCACTGAGCCTCAGACGTCCTTCCATCTGTCGAGCTGACCCAGAGCCGCTTCGTTGAGCAGCTGCCCCACGATCCGTGACTGATGGCTGGCCACCACTCGTCCCATGCACAGGAGACCTCATGTATGCCTGGCCAAATGATTCAAACGCAGCTGTGGCCATGAATTTCATGGGCTTTTGCTCCAGAAGTACCTGACCAACTTGGATTTGGCCCGTTTCTTCCATGTTTCCTGGTGCAGGGGACAAGGCTGTGCGTGAAACCGCCTTTGCAGGTAGTCCTTGACGTACGACAGGCTGCTTAGCGACCGTTTGAAATGATGACAGACTGCCCCTGGGAGTGTTTGTGATCCAGATTCGAAGTTCGAAGTTCTGACAGCTGGATCCCTCTCCCAATCACATGAGGGCACTTTGCAACCAGGCCGCATTTATGGCCATTTGCTGTGTCCCACAGTTATATGGACTGGGTTTTATAAAGGTTTTGCTGAAAACAGGAATTTTTTGTCGTGTTCAATGACCATGATGGTCGTTTTATGATTTCTACAAAAAAAGATTGTAAAATTGGCTCAGTTACCTGGGTGACCTGATTTAAGACAATCACAAGTTACGACCATGAAGGGCAGCTTTCGTTATGGTCGTAACTCGAGGACTATCTGTATTGGATCAGATCAGCTTCCTAGACTCAGTGGTGCCTACGTTAGGGCCACAGAAGCCAATTGCAGTTGATTCAGGACAAACTGTGATCTGGCAGAAGTCTTCAGCACCCTTTGTTGCAAAATACTGGCTAGCAAAAACAGGTGGTAACTGGCAGGGTTGTAATTAGGTTGCCTTGAGGTTGCTGCATCATAAATTGTGCATGGTGACTTGGTAGAAACAGCTCTACAAGCTCTGTGGCTGGAGATCCTTTATTATTTAGAACCTACATGAAGTCCCAAAGATGCTTTTCAAAAAAGCATCTGGACTGTCTTGGTTTTTCTTTGAAAAAGAATAGAATAGAGCTGGAAGGGACCTTGGAGGTCTTCTAGTCCAGCCCCCTGCTCAAGCAGGAGAACCTATACCATTTCAGACAAGTGACTGTCTAGTCTCTTCTTAAAAATCTCAGTGATGGAGTGTCCATGATTTCTGAAGGCAAAGCTGTTCCACTGGTTAATTCTCCTCACTGTTAGGAAATTTCTCCTTAATTCCAGGTTGCTTCTCTCTTTGATCAGTTTCCAACCATTGTTTCTTGTCTTGCCCTCTGGTGCTTTGGAGAATAATTTGACTCCCTCCTCTTTGTGACAGCCCCTCAAATACTGGAATACTACTATCATGTCACTCCTATTTCTTCTTTTCTTTCTTCTTCTTCTTCTTGTGCCATATCCGTTATTGGACGTTGGCGATCATGTTGACGATCATGTTTTTATCAGCAGCCGCACGAAAAAGTGCTGCTGAGTTTTGTCCAAACCAGTCCCTCCCAGTCCCTATCCTATCCTTTTCTTTAGGCTAGCCAAACCCAAGTCCCTAATTCAGTGAATTATAAGATGGAGGAAATAATATAGCACAATCAAACTTGCAAGATTCTATTATCATAGCCTGTCTCAATTAAAGTATTTTTAGTTTTCCTGTAGAGTTAATTTCTTGATTTGGTCTACCTAATGGAGTTGACAGACAGACACTCAAGATGCCAGGATGTGTCTATACTTAACAATGATCAGAATTATGCAAGCAATTGTTTGCCCTGGAATCCAGAATTTGGTTTTCAAAGAAGCACAGTAGAAAGAGTATCAACACCTTGATGTTGGAGAAGACTTCTGAGAAAACAAAACAAATGGATCATCAAACTAAACAAGCCACAGTTCTCACTAGAAGCACAAATGACCAAGCTCAAATTATCAAATTATAAATGATCAAGCTCAAATTATCCCACTTAGAATACTTTATGAAGGCCTAGCTCTCTAGAGAAGTCTCTAATGATGGGAATGGTGGAGGGAAAGAGAAGAGGATGACCAGTATCAAGTAGGGGTGGGGATACCATTGGAAGACTTGAAGGACCAGGTTACTATTATGTAAAAGTAGAAAGTTGAGGTTCAATGTTACCTCCTAGTCTAGGGGTAGGCAACCTTGACTCTTTCATGACTCGTGGACTTCAACTCCCAGAATTCCTGAGCCAGCCATGCTGAGGGGAAAGGGAGAGGTTTCCAAGCTGAGCCATGCTGGCTCAGGAATTCTGGGAGTTGAAGTCCACGAGTCATAAAAGAGCCAAGATTGCCTACCCCTGTCCTAGTCTATGCACCAAAGAGAGTCGCAAGTCAATGCGTTTTCTTTCTTTTTCCCTTCTTCTCTACACTTTTCTACACTTTTCCCTCTCCTATTTTTCCTATTATTCGCTCTTGTATTTTTGTATTTTATATTACAAATTAATAAAAAGGATTGACATGGAAAAGAAAGTCCAGTTGCCTTTTGGAAAAAAACAACAACCCACCTTTGGAACAACCATTACGTAGATAGTTGAGAATCTCCATAGACACTCAATATATAGGTACAGTAGAGAAACTCTAGGACTCAGGGGTAGTCAACCTTGGCTCTTTTATGACTCGTGGACTTCAACTCCCAGTTTTATTCTGGGAATTGAAGTCCACGAGTCATAAAAGAGCCAAGGTTGACTACCCCTTCTCTAGGTGATGGGGCTGATTCATCTCACTAGGTTTCCTCAACTGGTTATTGAGGAAAAAAGTAAGATGATTGTGCCTGGAAATTCCACTTACCTTGTTTCCCCGAAAATAAGACCATGTCTTATATTAATTTTTGCTCCAAAAGACGCATTAGGGCTTATTGTCCAGTTAGGTCTTATTTTCAGGGAAATACGGTACTAAATGCATCCATCTGGGTGACGATTTTAACCAGGGCTTATTTTTGAGGTGGAACTTATATTACGAGCATCCTGAAAAATCATGCTAGGGCTTATTTTCCAGTTGGGTCTTATTTTCAAACACGGTCAGGGTGTTTGGGCAGGATGAAAAATGAGGGGATCCACTCAGCTGAGATCCACTCAAGATTTTGGTTTCCTATCAGGAGAGATGAAAAAGGCTGGCTTGGTCCAAATCCAACATCTCAAGATGCCTCCTAGAATCTCCTGAAATGACCGTTATTGGAGGTTGCAGCTTTCAGGAAGGAAACAGTCCCTGTGTTAGTTTTATTAAATGAAATGTATCAGATATTGTGTCAGGTCAACAAGAACAACAACAAAAAGAACAAATTAAGAAGTTTGATTTAGAATAAGTCCATGGCTTCTTAGAATCTGTATTTTTGAGGTCCTCAAACCTGTACAAGCACCTTCATTTTTGTAAAATCATCTGGCAGAAACAGAACCAAATAGTTCATAGTTAAAGGGGGAGGGGAATCTAAACAACAACAACAACAACATCCCTAGCAACCTTCTCTTTTTTTTCTCTAGGAGAATCTGATGGGAAAGGAGTCACTCGATCCAGGAGCACAAACAGCTTCTTGTCCCAAAGTGGGAGGTGCAGGATGATTCCAAAGGAACCGCGTAGACATACTATTTCCGGTGATGTGGAATATGAAATGGTAAGGGGATCCAGAGAATGATTCCATAGAGCTAACTAAAAGATTAGTCTCCTTTCCTTCCCTTCCTTCACTTTGCTTCACCATTCCTCTCCCCTCTCCCCGTTCCCCATTCCACTTTCCCCCTTCCATTTATTCAAATCTTAAGAAATCCACATCAGTTTCATGCACGGCAAAACAAAATCATACACACTCACACACCCCTGCTCTGCTCTCTAAAAGGTTTCTGAGTTAATACAGGTAGTCCTCGACTTAACAACAATTAACTCATGCTTATAACTGCAGTGTGAAAAAAGTTGCATATGTAATAATTCTCTGCAGTGATTCTTAGCAATGCAAACTAAGCCCTTTCTTAATACAAACATTCCAGGATTAACCTCTGCTATCAAAACCAGATTCTTTCGGTATGTGATTAAACTCTAGAGAATAAAATTGAGAAACAGGCTAATGTTTGTAGCTGATCTAACATTCCACCATTGCAAGGCAACAACAGAATCTTCAGGAATGGTTGATCTTGTTTCTTGCTTAAGCTGTTTTAATGCTTTTCCAGTTTTTTTAACCACGTAAGCATGTAATCCCAAGGGGGTCTAGGACAACTTGCCACAGGATAATCTGCCTCCAGAAGCGGTGAATGCTCCAACACTGGAAGTTTTTAAGAAAAGACTGGACAGCCATTTGTCCAAAATGGTATAGGGTTTCCTGCCTGAGCAGGGGGTTGGACTAGATGACCTCCAAGGTCCTTTCCAACTTTATTATTATTATTATTATTATTATTATTATTATTATTATTATTATTATTATTATTATTATTATTATTATTATTATTATTATTATTATTATTATTATTATTATTATTATTTGGTGACCGTACGAAGTTGCAAAACGGCACTGAAAAAAGTGACTTAGGGGCAGTTTTCACACTTACGACGGTTCTAGCATCCTCATGGTCATAAGATCCAAATTCAGACGCTTTGGCAATTGACTCATATTTATGACGGTTGCAGTGTCCTGGGATCACGTGATCCCCGTCTGTGGTCTTCTGACAAGCAAAGTCAGTGGGGAAACCAGATTCTCTTAACAACAATTTGACTAATTTAATAACTACACTGATTCATTTATCAACGGCGGTAAAATGAGGCAAACTCCCCATTTTTTAATAAATGTTTCATTTAGCAACATAAATTTGGGGCTCAAGGAGGACGACCTTAACTTAAACGAGCTACAAGGACAAGGAAAGGAAAGAATTATGCAACCTGGCTAATTTTAAATGCACTTTTCTCACGTTTTCTTGTACGGCCTCTTTGGCCTAACTTTTTCCATCCTGTTCCTGCGAGCCATTTTCCCCTATCCCACTTGGGTCTGGAAAAATTACGGGATGAAAAAACAATGAACAAATCCTACCATCAGAGCTTGCTGATTCAGTATCAGAAGTCTGGTGGCAAAGTTTTTAGACAGTCAAAGAAGTTAATCCTCACCCTGCTGCTCACCTCTTCCATTTCCGAGCTCACGTGGGCAGCTGAAAAGACTGGGCTTAGGAGTCCTATTATCCAGCGCAACTGAAGCTCAAAATCTAAGCCGGCATGCTTTGAGAACTGCTGAGTCCAGCGGAGTAGGGCAAACCCGAATTTTCCAGACACCGAGTATATACCCTCCACCGGGGCAGGGGAAGGGTCATAGGGAGGGGAAAAAAAACACAGAATAAAGCAGAGGGCTATGGAGAGAAAAAAAAGAAAGAACAGGCAACACAAAGCGATGGAGAAGAAGACCACAGATGGGGGAGCAAGTGGGAAAAACAGAGCAGAGGGCCGAAAGCTAGAGAGAAAGCCATCAAGAGACGGGCGTGAAGGTGTGGCTACAGATGAAGAGGCAGCAGGAGTTGGGGCCGGGGAGCTACTAAAGAAGGAAAGGGATAGACAGATGGAAGGGGAAAGGGGGTAGAAGGGAGAGAGTTGAGGGGAGGCTGGGAGGGGGATGTTTCAGAAGTGGACAGGAAGGAGGGCTAGCAGGATTTAAGAAGGAGAAGGGAGATGGTAGAGCGGTCCAAAGAGATCTGATGGGTGGGTTGCAGGAGAAACAAAAATGGATTTGCAGGAGTAGCTGTCCATGTGGGTTTTACACCCATAAATAGTGTATTGTTGCAGCTTGGTTGTCTGGAAGCCTAAGCAGATCAGAGAAGTGTCTTATAGAATCCTAGAATTGGGAGGGACCTCAGAAATTGTTTAGCTCCAAAGCTCCAGCTCGGCAGAGGATCTAGTAAGAGTGTCCATGAGAAGTGACCTACCAGCCTGTTGAAAGACCTTCAGCAAAGGGAAGCTCACCGCTTCATAGGTCAACCTGTTGCTTTGGCTGAGGGCTGGCCCTGTCAGGAAGTTCCTTCCGAGGTCTAGCTTGAAGTCCACATTTGGTGAGGGAGAGCAAAGCAGGGTCCCCAGGGCTTCTGCTGCCTGCCACCGCAGGGCCACCATGGCAGTTCAAGGAGGCTACACCATCCTCATCATCCCACTGGGAACGGCCCTCAGCAATCTGCACGCTTTGAGATTCTTTCTCTGGGTAAGTCTTTGTGAGGACCAGGGATCCATGCATGCAACTTCCCGCCACCAGCCTGCATGCACCTTAAACAGTATTTATTTGCTCTGAAGTTCTGCAATGAAAGGGGCACTGCATATAAAATCCTGCAAAAGAGGGAATTGCTTTTGCCCCATAGAAGTCCTTAGGTGCTGGAAGCATCTTAATTTATATTGTGCTTATGCTTAAGAAATACCAAGGTCTTATTTGGAAGCTTCATCAAGAGTTATATTTCCCCAGTCTTCTGGACTCTCTCTCTCTCTCTCTCTCTCTCTCTCTCTCTCTCTCTCTCTCTCTCTCTCTCTCTCTCTCTCTCTCTCTCTCCCTCTCCCTCTCCCTCTCCCTCTCCCTCTCTCCATGCCGATGTATGTTTAATTATTATTTCAATACTGCTTTCATTGCCAGCAATTGTTTAGTTTCATATTTATAATACTCTGCTATCTATTGTAACTGGGTGTGGATGTTGATGCCATGGCAAGCCACCCTAAAAACTGATTTTGATAGAACTCCACGTGCAGTTTTTACCATGCTGTAGAATTTTATTTTAAAATAAAAATACCAGAGGTTCAAATGAGCAGTTCAACCAACTGCGCTTCTTCCAAAGAGCCAAAATGCTGCGAATCTGCTTCTGGGTATGAACAAGAGAAACAAGCTTTTTGTTGTAATTGGTAGAAGTTATGAGATTGAGTCTCTTCTATAACAGATGGAAGCTTATCAAAGACAGATCTGACCTAGAATTAAGGAGAAATTTCCTGCCAGTGAGGACAATTTATCAGTGAAATGGCTTGCCTCCAGTTGTTGTGGGTGCTCCAACTCTGGAGGTTTTCAAGAAGAGATTGAACGGCATTGGTATAGCATTGGTATAGGATCTCCTGCTTGAGTTGGTGGGTGGACTAGAAGACTTCCAAGGACATTTCCAAGCCTGTTTATTCAGACAGAGGGCTGAGCATTAATTCTTCTGAATGCAAACCCTTCTGCTCCTAAATTATGGATCTTGGGGAGGGATGACTTAATACTGTAGATCTCTTTTCAGGGTATCTCATGTCTAGTTAAAAGTTCTCCGGTCATTGTAAAGAAATTTTCCTGGGAGTCAAAGAAGCAGCAAGCTGCACTAATTACAGTTTCTCTTTCTTTTCCTTCCTTCCTTCCTTCCTTCCTTCCTTCCTTCCTTCCTTCCTTCCTTCCTTCCTTCCTTCCTTCCTTCCTTCCTTCCTTCCTCTTTCTTTCTTTCTTTCTTTCTTTCTTTCTCCCTCCCTTCCTTTCTCTTTCTTTTCCTTCCTTCCTCCCTCCTTCCTTCCCCCCTTCCTTCTTCCTCTCTCTCTCCCTCCCTCCTTTTCACTCTTTCCCTTCCTTCCTTCCTTCCTTCCTTCTTTCCTTTCTTCCTTCTTTCCTTTCTTTCTTTCTTTCTCCCTCCCTCCCTCACTCTCTTTTCCTTCCTTCCTCCCTCCCTCCTTCCCCCCTTCCTTCTTCCTCTCTCTCCCTCCCTCCTTTTCGCTCTTTCCCTTCCTTCCTTCCTTCCTTCCTTCCTTCCTTCCTTCCTTCCTTCCTTCCTTCCTTCTTTCCTTCCTTCCTTCTTTCCTTTCTTTCTTTCTTTCTTTCTTTTTTTCTTTCTTTCTTTCTTTCTTTCTTTCTTTCTTTATCTCTCCCTCCCTCTCTCTTTTCCTTTCTTCCTCCCTCCCTCCTTCCCCCCTTTCTCCCTTCCTTCTTCCTCCCTCTCTCCCTCTCCTTCTCGCTCCTTCCCTTCCTTCCCTTCCTTCCTTCCTCCCTCCCTCCCTCGTTCTCACTCTCTTTCCTTCCCTCCCTCCCTCTGCAGCTCAAGCAGATGCAGCAGCTGGAAAGAGAGCGCGATGCCTTGCTGCAAGGCTTGGAAATGGTTAACCAGGTACGCGACTGGTTACAGTGCCACCTGCTGGAAGCTCAAAAACGCCAGAAGCACATGGGAGCCCAGGCGGTAAGTCAGCCTTTTTATCCATCATTTATGGCCATTTGAGTGTCCTGAAGTCACGAGACTGTGTTTTACCAGGGTTTTGCCAAAACTCAGCACTTACTTCTGCTTTTTCAGCAAAACCGCACCCATATTGAATTATTAGTTCATGTAATGACTGTAGCATTCGCTTAACAGCCGTGATGATTCACTTAATGACTGCCATTAAAAAAGGTCATAAAATCCAGTCAGTCATGCGACTGACCTGTTTTACGATCATCATGACTAATGACCATGATAGGCATGTTCCATGATGATCATAAGTCGAGGACTCCCTACATTTCAAACATATCATTTGACAGAAGTTAAAAATATACCCCTCAAACAAAACAGCCACAATAATATTCAAAATGACTTCATAAGAGCTCCATGTTGTTGTTAGTTGCGAAGTCGTGCCCGACCCATCGCGACCCCATGGACAACGTTCCTCCAGGTCTTCCTGTCCTCTACCATCTTCTGGAGTCCATTTAAGCTCACGCCTACTGCTTCAGGGACTCCATCCAGCCACCTCATTCTCTGTCGTCCCCTTCTTCTATTGCCCTCAATCTTTCCCAGCATTACGCCCTTCTCCAGCGAGTCCTTCCTTCTCATTAGGTGGCCAAAGTATTTGAGTTTCAACTTCAGGATCTGGCCTTCTAAAGAGCAGTCGGGGTTGATCTCATCTAAGACTGACTGGTTTGATCGCCTTGCAGTCCAGGGGACTCGCAGGAGTCTTCTCCAGCACCATAGTTCAAAGGCCTCACTCCTGAATAGTCCTAGGCATGATCCATCACCATTTGTTGTGTTCCTCTATTCCCTTCAAGTTTATTCATTTATTTACTGGCAAATGTCTTTAGTCCTACGTATTTCAATTAAGAATAAATCTAATCAGCTTAGAAAAACAATTATAGTGAAAAAAATGCCTCTAAATACATCTAATGTTACTAAATTGACTTTTTAATAAAATCACAGTTAACAGCAAAGTTGCTAACACTACCTGAATTCTACCTACAGTACATATATTCTTCATCCATATGCATATTCTACATATATAGTATATATCCTCCATATTCAGTCCCGGAAAGCTTGTTTAAATAATTATTTTTTCACTTGCTTTCTAAATTTGCACTGTGTAGGAGTTATTCATTTTGGGGCAATCTATGAATATTGTTGAATAAAATGAATATATGAATGAATAAATGAAATGTTTTAAGACATCTGGACAAGCTTGTGTGGCTAATAAATTCAAATAAATAAAACAGACCAGGTTGGGAAGGGCTGCAGTAACTAAATCACAATTGTGAATTGTGTATTCACAATTCTACTCTATATTTGTAATTTTAAGAAAAGCAGAAAACCATTAATGAAATTTGCCTGAAGCAAACAATTATACTAAATTATGCTGCAGTCCTTTATTGAATACCTAATCTTACAGTCGCTTATTACTCCGTGGAAAGAAAGCAACTGTGCCAAAGTGGAATCAGAAATTAAAACAGGAAGGGAATATGCAATTAAATTATAAGTAAGTATATGTAACTAAGTCTTCAGACTTTCATGGAGAGAGTACAGGTAGTCCTCGAGTTGCAACAGTTCATTTAGTGACCCTTCAAAGTTACGTCACTGAAAAAAGTGACCTATGACCATTTTTCACACTTACGACCGTTGTGACATCCCCTTGATCACGTGATCAAAATTCAGATGCTTGGCCGCTAGTTCATAGTTACGACCGTTGCATACGATCCCCTTTTGACAAGCAAAATCAATGGGGAAGCCAGATTCAGTTAACAACCAGGTTACTAACTTATCCACGGCGGTGATTCACTTAACAACTGTGGCAAGAAAGGGTTGTAAAACGGGACAAAACTCACTTAACAAACGTCTCACTTAACCACAGAAATTTTTGGCTCAATTGTGGCCATAAGTCAAGGACCCACCTGAAGTGGTGGATGTCTTAAATGTAAGAAATTCTCTCTTTTTTTCTTATTTCTTGAACTGGAACATTTGGGATAGGACAGTGGTGGCGAACCTATGGCACGCGTGCCAGAGGCGGCACTCAGAGAACCTCTCTGTGGGCACACATGCCGTTGCCCCAGCCTTGCTTCCCCCGTGACCCCCTCCTCACCAGCAGCCCCCCTGGAGGAGAGTTGCCCCCGAGTGTGGCCCACACAGAGCAGTGCAGCCAAAGACATGGCAGCCAGGCAGCGTAGATAAGACTCTGCCCTCACGCCCCATCGTGCACAGTTGATGCTGCGGGGCGGGGGCAGAGGGCATGGCCGCCATGGCGCTGCTCGGCTGCCTAGATCAGCAGTTCTCAACCTATGGGTTGCGACCCCATTTGGGGTCAATCGACCATTTCACGGGGGTTGCCAAGCAAGGCTGTCCGCCATTTTTTTCCCCTTTTCCGGCGGGCCAGCTGGTGGTCGGCCTGTTCCGTCTCTGCCGCTTGACAGCTACGCCTCGGCCGGCGCAGGGGGCGGAACCATGCATGCGCGGCGCTCCCGGGCAGGGAAAGTCCTCGACTTACGACCAGTTGGGTAGTCCTTGACTTACGACCGGTTTAGTCCTCGACTTACGACCAGTTTAGTCCTCGACTTACGACCGGTTGGGGGTCGCGGCATTAAAAAGGTTGAGAACCACTGGCCTAGATGATCTGCGGCGGGCCCTGGAGGTGGTGAGTGGCCCTGCGGGCAGGTGGGGTGGGGATGGAGCAGGGGTGGGGTAGAGGGTGGAGCGGGGGCAGGGGCAGTTTTTGGGCACTCGGTCTCTAAAAGGTTCACCATCACTGGGATAGACGTTGGATTTTCAGCTTTGAGATTTGTTGTCTTGTTTTGCACCACTGCAGAATGACAGCCGAGATTCTTACTCTAAGCAGAGCTGCCTGCTGCTGGCCAAGATCCAGGAAATCAACCTGTGCTTGAAAAGTTTACTCACTTCTTCTGGAAAGGTCAGTAGGACTGAAAGGGTGGGATCACAGAATACAGAGAGTCCTCAACTTACGGTCATTTTGTTTACTGACCGTTCAAAGTTCAAACGGCAGTGAAAAAAGTGACTTATGACTGTTTTTCCTTACTTACAACCATAGCAGCATCCCCTGGGTCACGTGATCAACATTCGGATGCTTGGTGACTGGTTCATCTTTAGGACGGTTGCAGAGTCCCGGAGTCATGTGATTACTTTTTGTGACCATCAGATAAGCAAACTCAATGGGGGAACCAGATTCACTTAAGTACTGCAGTGATTCACTTAACAACTGTGGCGAGGAAGGTCGTAAAATGGGGCAAAAGTCATTTAACAAATGTCTCACTTAGCAACATAAATTTGGGGCTCAATTGCAGTCGTAAGTTGAGAACTACCTGTAACAGATTTGGCAGGACCTTTGAGGTCTTCTAGTCCAACCCCCTGCTCAGACAGGAAACCCTATACCCATTTCAAACAAATGGCTGTCCAGTCTCTTCTTAAAAACCTCCAGTGTTGGAGCATTCACCGCTTCTGGAGGCAGGTTGTTCCACTGGTTAATTGTTCTAACTGTCAGGAAGTTTCTCCTCAGTTCTAGGTTGCTTCTCTCTTTGGTTAGTTTCCATCTGTTGCTTCTTGTCCTGCCTTCAGGCGCTTTGGAGAATAGCTTGACTCCCTCTTCTTTGTGGCACCCCCTGAGATATTGATAGACTAATATTATGTCACACCGAGTCCTTTTCTTTCTTAGACTAATTTACACAACCATTCATCATAGGGTTCAGAATTGTGGTATTCAAGACAGACCTACAGTATATGCCGGGTAACTGATACAAATAGACCTCACTTACCAGCCACCTTGTGTAGTGACCATTTGAAGTAATGACGGCGCCGAATAAGTAACTTTATGACTGGTCCTCACATTTATGACTCAGGCAACGTTCCCAGCTGCCCATCTTTCAGCCATCTCTGGATGGCTCCCAGTGACTCTTTAATTGTACCATGTTCTTAGAACTTTTTGCAAGCTTTTTGTATGAATAGAGTTTATTTGTGGTAAGAATTTGGCCAGCAAAACAACTAGATAAAAGTGTGGTGGTGAGTCACACTTAAAACTGTGATTTACCCCCCCCCCTTTCTTTGCAGCCCGAAGTGCCACTCAAAAGTTGGAGGGTTCCCTTTTCCTCTCCAGAAAATCCATTTCACCAGCAAGCCATCATTGTGCTCAAGGAACAGAACCACCTGTTGACCAAGGTAACTATAAAAGCCTGGCTGATCTCCTTTGGCTGGAAAAGGGGACAATTGATTTAAATTGCACTTGTAATGTGTCTATACAGAGATTCTCAATCATGCAAATCAAGGTTGTCCCAAAGGTGCTTTTTCCAAAAGGCAAGTGGACTTTCTTGGGCTGTTGGTTGTTTTTTTAAAAAAATATTTTACTTTTCATTCAACAAGCTTCTTCAGTTCAGTTCACTGAAGAAGCTTCTTGCATGAGGAATGAAACATTTTTAAAGAAAAAAAACCAAGGACATCCAGTTGTCTTTTGGATAAAAACACCTTTGGGACTTTATAATGTGCCAGATTGATCTACTAGAAGTAGAATCCAGAGATCCAGACTATCCCGCAAATAAGTGTGCTTGTGGGTTTTAGAACACACACTCACCTTGTAATTCACTTCTTAGTGTTTGAGAATTTAGAATAGTTCTTCTTTGTTAAATGAACAAGGACTTTTTGGCGTGCTGTGAATAAATCTTACAATAGAAGAACTGCTATGGAGCATTTATTATTTATTTTATTTTATATCTTATCTTATCCTATCTTATTTTATTTATTATTTTATTTTATTTTATTTTATTTTATTTTATTTTATTATTTTATTATTTTATTTTATTTTATTTTATTTTATTTTATTTTATTTATTTTTATTTTTTATTTTATTTTATTATTTTATTATTTTATTTTTTATTTTATTATTTTATTTTACTTCATTTTATTTTATATCATCTTATCATCTTATTTATTTTATTATTTTATTTTATTTATTTTATTTTTTATTTTATTTTTATTTTATTTGATTTGATTTGATTATTTTATTTATTTTATTTTATTTTATTTTATTTTTTATTTTATTATTATTTTATTTTTATTTTATTTTTATTATTTGAATTTTTGGTTGTGGCTTATTTCCCCCTAAGAGAAAATAGTACATCTCCACCATCTGGAACAGTCAGGAGAAAACAAATTTTAACCTATTGAGAAATCTTTGATGGACTGTAATACTAAGTAATCTAGCAATAGCAGGTAAAATTTAATATTTCCCTTTGTCATAAGTGTTCCTTGAAAATCGTTTATAGGTTTATTTCAGACAGTCTATTTTTCTCCTGTGGTATGATTTGCTTTTGAAATATTAATTAGACATCTCGGATGAAGTTTGAACCACTCAACGGGCTGTCCTGCATTTTTTATTGGAATCCATGATAGTAACACGGAGGGTGGGTGGGTGCGGTTGAACATGGATGGTTCATGGCTAACAATTAATTTGCTGTAAATTAATGGCTGTAAGTCAAGGACTATCTATTTATTTTATTTATTTATTTATTTGTTTGAATTTTTATCCCGCCCTTCTCCTTACGGACTCAGGGCGGCTGACAGCCTGGTAAAACAGATACAAAGATAAAAATACCCACTTTAAAACCTAATTAAAATGAAATATTTGATGTGGCCTGTGTCAATTTAAAATTATTCTTAAAACCCCACTAAAAATTCCCCTAGGC